AAACTCGCTAACACCAACAATCAGGTAGTCAATCACTACAAATGGGTGTTGATTCCGCGCCAAATTGGTTTTTCATTCTATTGCAAATATTCTGATGAGGACAAAGTGCTGTGTTAACGTATCACGTAATTTGACTGAAAAATGGCTGCTTAATGTGCAAGCTTTCTACAAAAGTGATGTAGTGATGTGTTGGTGCAGTTGCTGTCGAATAAGTATGCTCCATCATCCTATAATCGTTTTAATATACTCTCAAAATTCTATATCGCGTCAAAAGAGGAAGTCGCCCAGGACCTTTGTGATGGTATTACAATATCAACAAATGTGTATTTTCGTTTGTTTTTCTGTGGATTGTGTTAAATTGGGAGACAGTAGAGACGACTAATTGAGAAATCCAATTATTGTTTATTTAAGTCCATACCTTTCTGCAGACACTCACAACAATGCAATTGAACGCGCTTCGTTATCTTGTACTAAAAAATTGGCTTTTTAGCAGCAAACCAACAAGGTTGATGCATGCAAGCTACAACACACCAATGATGGGCTCGCAGCCTTCAAGTGATTTTGGGGGCCAAATTCTTATTTATGGAATTAGTTGCAATTGGTGTTCAAGTCTAAGACAAGTGGAAAGTTCCCAAAGCGTCGACTGAGCAGAAGTCCAAAATCCGTTTCATATGCCTTTATAAAGTGTCAGCGTTACGTGAGGACTAAATAATTGAGGTAAGGTTATAAGCATTGCGATGCTTTAATTTGCATTTGTTGCAAATTTTAAATGAAGTTTAAGGAAAAATTCTACTCTACTCTTAACTGATACTGGCACTGTTTTGTTTTCATTCGATGAATAGAGTAAGGTAAACGCGAACCCTCAAGCAGAAACACGGCGTGCTGCGAAGAAGAGCCGGTGATCGGAATAAGATCAAAATTCCACGCTCCACAAGTATGTATGCTCAGTTTTGCAAAGGATATTAAATTGGCTCTGTTAGACAACACGCAAAATTCAAAATTCCTCGCAACAAGTGATCTCAGCTAATAATATATCACATCACCAGCATTTTTCTCCCTTGCAAAAGTGCGGAGTCCTGTGTTGTAGAAAAGTGTGATAGAATATAACTAAGCGGGTTGCGTTAAGGGGAGGGGATTTTGAATTACAGTGGATTACAAAGTCCACATCATTCAAGCGGCAGCAGTTCCCGATAGAAGCATAGACTCCAAGGATCCATAAAACGGCTTGGTGAATAATTGCCTAGCTTTACCAGTCCTGCATTAAGGTGATGCATGAAGCCACAGAGTCGGCAGTCCAGCCTTTTTTCGATCTGTGTGGAAAATTTGTAAGGTGAATTCTTTTTTTTTGATAGTAATGCTTTGATTTAAGAATATTTTAAATGCCGCTATGTATTTGTTAAGTGTCTCGATGGTTATTCTAAACTTTTCCATCATCAATATTTCATGGAACTGCAAGCAATGGTCTGAGTAACTTTGTCCATAAATTTTATATTTTGCAAGGTTCTTTAAAATACTTTGGGCCCCACTTTGAGGGGACGGTGGTTGAGTTGGATGACTTAATTCCAATGCCTTGATGAACCTGTCTGCGAATTTTGCGTAAATTTTTGATTTGATCCAATGTCTTCACCTTCTTAATTGCATCGCTTTGGTTAATCCAGAGGGAAACAGCCGGGAATAGCAATGCTTTCTTCCCAAAAAAATACAGATCAATGTCTTGCCTTTGCCTTAAAATCTACTCTGTTTTATCTCCTGCGCCAGATTAATCGTTTGAGTAGCTTCTTTATGACTATGGTTCTCATACAACATACGGGGCTTTCAGTTTTCTTGCTACTTCATAAACATTATTTGTTTATTAGAAGATGCGATGAATGGCTACTTAAAAATTAGTAGTAAAATGTTTTGTGTGTTTTTGTATTTTTGGTTGTTATCAACTGAAACCTGAATTTTACACTCCTCATTGTAACTAATGCACACTTTGAAATGACGGTCAACTCATTTAATTTAGACCAAATTTTCGTGCATACAAAGCAAACGAATTGCGGGTTCTTTATTACCTCCCTTGGCACCTAAAGTAAAAATGCTGACAGAAGGTTTCAAATAAACATTATAAACTCACGTAGATATCACCGTATTCCTTCCAGGCAAAATACTCTGCATAAGCAGTGTCGTTTCTATCCAGGTAGAGCAAGTATTGGACCAGTTCGCTAATTGACTTAAAGTCATCCACGTTGATATAGGAGTAAGGTGGGAGAACACTCTCATAATCCTCTTTGTATGCACCTAGTACAATGGGAACCATGCCGTTTCTGAAAGACGAGGAGGGTATTGCAGTCTCAACTTCAGATGCATAGTTGCTATACATTTGTGAAACACGGTCATACACCTTAAATGGATCTCCATACCTTAGAGCGTTAACTGTCACCTTCTCCGTTATATAATACCTACAATTGGAATTTTCAAATGCCAGGTAGAACTTGTAATGCTCAGAGATCCATTGAAGAGGATCCCGTCCTGGAGGAGTCTCTCTGCCCATTCCACCGTAGACATCAACCTAAAATTTGCAATTTTTTAAATTTGCATACATTTTTACTCACTGGAAATCTTTAACGCCATATGATTCCACTTATGGTAGATGGTTCTTTCCTAAACTGCTAGCATGGTGAATTGATCTCCGCTTAAGGATACAATACAGAATTTCCTAACCCTTACTAAGGCTGATATTTTGCTGCTTACCGATATAAAGTTGGAAATTAAATATGCAAAGGAATCTCTGTTATTTTTCGGTGATCCGTTGGAAACCAGCCAGGCGATTAACTTTCTCCTCTTTCTGTGATTGAGCGGAAGTAGATGAGTGCTGTTTTTGGCAAGGAGTGCGGCCACTTCGCTGCTGGTAAATTTCTTTCCACGATTTGTCTTCCGCAAGAACATTGGGTACATATAAGGCACTTGTGACCACGGCAAGTAGGTAATGAAAATATCCACCTAAATGACCAAAAGTTTAACCACTTTTATCGTAGGCACCGATGCAAATATTTAGGTAAATGTATAGGTTGCACCAAAACTGGTAGTGACTTTCTCTAAACATATTCTGTTTCTTCAGAGTTGGTATCCCTATTTGTAGATATCTTTAAGTATTTTCTTAAATCCAAAAGCAAAAACCTCATAATGTTGACGAAGTAAATATTTTATGTGAACACTACGCGGTCGATTTGTGCCAAGAAGCGAATACGATTAGTCTTTAGTAAAAGTTTTAAGGTGGAAGAGTGTGTGAAAAACCTACTTGCTGCATTTGGATTTGAGTTAATTCTCGCATGTGTACGGGACTCTCGACTGACTCGAAGGCAATGAGAACACCATTTTGCCTTAGATATTCCACATCTACTGCGTAGAATGGCTCTGAAAAGACCGCGATATCACCCACGCCCAAATCGTAAAGGTAATTGGTAAAGTTGCATTTGTAGCGGCACCCTTGAGATTCGGTGACGTGATACAATAAATGTCCATCATAGAAAATCTTTGGCGGTTTGACAATTGATAAATCACTCTGAAGAGAAGCAAATTTGTCATAGCATGCTACCTAGTACATAACGTTTTTGACTTGAATTGCAAAAGGAATGGTGGATGTTATACCTCATTGTGAGAAAAGGCCGATATCCATTCAAGCTGCTCGATAACATGGTAGTAGGGATACAGTTGATCTTGAAAGACGAAAAAATTCCTAATGTTCGAGAAGAGTTCCTCGACACTGGGCGACTTATCTGGTAGGGAGCTCCATAAGATAACTAGAATGAGGAAATTTGAAATTAACCAGCAAGCAAGAGAGGAGGAAAACGCCGATTTATTCATTGCATTGCCTCTGAATACTTGTGAATGAGCTTGATGCCAATCATTGTGATGGTAGTAGCCAAGCCTTAGTAGCGGGATTTGATTGGCTACTTGGAAGCGTCAATTAGCAGGAACCTCGCAAGGCGCATTATATATAGATATACATATGTATACCAATAGGGGCTCAGTTAATCACACAACTTTAGTATTGGAACCAGATATTTCTTCAGATTGTTTGTGTTAAGCTAATTAGTGTTGAGTCTCTTTAGTAGTGACAGCTAATACCGAACTTTCTCTAAGCGCCTTATTTATGACAGTACGGCATTACTGGGACTAGTACCGACTTGTCGATTTAGCCCGCTTTGGTAAAATTATCGAGCTATCAGTGGGCTAGCCGCCGAAACACAACTTTAAATTTTGATATTCCTAATGTTTATCACCAAAAGTTCAGTAAATATAACATCTGGTCATCTAGCTTAGCATTAGCAGATATTTTTCTTTGCGTCAGGGATACATGATTATGCATAGCCACGTGGGGCGTTGTGCAATGATATTAATATACAATTAGTTTAATTTCACTCACTTTATAATGATAAGCTCGTGGGTGGGTACTGGACATTTGCGGCATCAAATAGGCGTAAGTTACCTAATGTGAACTACTCGCCGGTGTTTGTGTACATGAGTTTGAATCCTGTCGGATTTTAACAGTAGTGGTAAGACAAACACATGATTACGAAATGTGACCTTAGCATGTTTAACTTTCGTTCTTTGTCAACCAGTATACGTAAGCTGGGAGTGTAACTAGGGTAAGCTAGGGTAATGAGACTTCTGGACCGCCCTCGAGGTGTACAGGACGAGTCGACCTTAATTTTCTCTTCTTTCAAGTGGAGTCCATGGATGAGGTGGCGTGTGAAAAGTGTTCAGTAATGTTATCCATAGGGTATCATGGTGGACAGCTTAATCTTTATTGTGTCGCAGACGCAACTGGTTGCGCTGCCGCAACCAGGTGACATTTTCGATTTTTACATCGTATATAGCCTTGCTGCATTTGTGTAAAATCTTTCTAGCTCTCCAATGACTGTATCCTGGCCGATAATGGCAGAAGTATGAGATAGTGTCTGTTATGGTTTGTACCGAGGCTTTCGGTACACGCTCTTTGGGACCATTTGGTGGTCTTGTGACCACCGCTACGTCAATTAAGTGAAGTTACCACTTTTGCTGACCACCGGTGATTTTGGATGGAATCGTTTGGACTAGTCTCTTATCGCATCAAAGTTGTCTGTTATGTCAGTTGAAACTTTTGTAGGACATTAGCAGTTGCCCCACTTCCTAATGATTTCAGCGTTAACCAATCGCTGCGCTTGACCATAGGGTTGGGAGTAATATAGCGAGGAAAGAATGTTTTTATTAGCAAAAGTCGCAAAATCTCCGCAAAGCTAACTACATTCCATTGGATATTCTTGTTCTTGGTGTCAGTGTTGGTTGTTGAGACCTCGGTCAGATTTGGGCGAATTATTTTCCCTTGAGTCATATCGGTCGACTGTGCTTCCAGCCATGTTGGGAGTAAAAGACTGTTGCAAACTTTACACAAGCTTGTAAATATAAGAGAATTGCATTCTGGCTCGTTTGACGTTGATAAGTTTGTAAGTCAAGTAAAATTTTCTTCACATTTCTACCAAAAAGTAGCCATTAGTGGAATTCATCAAAAAACTGTGTGTAGAATTCTTAATGTGAATCACTCGCTGTTTTTAGACACGAATAAACACGTTATGAGGACGCATTTGATATTCAGAAGACACAAAGTGCCGCAGACGTCTGATTCATGCTTACCATTTTGTTCGATCTAAAACATGAGTCCTGAAAGCAGCCACCGTGCTAGCTGCAATCTCGTCAATTAGCTTCTGTATTCCACTCAAACAATTATTTGCTAAGTATGTGATTCTATTTGCCATTGAAATGGCATACTTTAGATGAGTGAACCAAAACACGTACAGCCTAGTAACAGCTTTCTTTGCTAGAGTTAGGATTATTTTGGCAATCTTTTTGCTATTTACATTTGGAGCCTTTTTACTATGCCAAATTTCATTTTTACCATTGCATATCTTTTACAGTTTGAAACAATTTCTCTCTGGTTTGAAGTGCTATGCACTTGAATCCCAGGTGAAGCATTATGGGACTGACCCCAATAAACAGAGAATTTCAACTTAAATTTCGGAGGATGACCATGTGTTAACTAGGAAAAGATGTAATTTGGTCTTTCAGCACATAGACTTACCAAAGGGAAAGTTAGATATTAAAATGTGGTTTTCTGAAACTCAAATGAAGCGTTTTGCTCGTGTTTTTGGCCGCGTACAGCCCCCTTTTGTCACCGTCTACGCCAAGAGTGGACAGATGTCGTCGTCATTATTGATAAAAAGTGTCATATATCATATTCCCTGCAAAGGAGGAGGAAGTGTACGCGGAATAAGCATAACCCTGGTCGCTGTATCCCGTTTATAATGCTAATTATAAGAAATATTCTCATCTAATCAGTTTAATCTGCCGACATGGAAGAGATGAACGCCGAACATATCACAGCAGGCATTGGAAGCAATCAAAGTAAAGTGCCGAAAACAACTCCTTTCGAACTTGGAGGGATAAGGAATTTGAATAATAAATAAACAGACAATTAGGCTTTACATCATTATCGCCTAACAATGCAGTGATTATCTTTTATTGCGGCCATTCACAAGTGCTCCTGAATACGTTCGCTTTTATGAAATTCACTTTGTGACTGGAATTCAAAAATGAGTACTGAATCATCCTTGACTGCATTACAATACATACCGCAAAATCCCTTAATCATATGAGCCGATGGTGCTAGAAAGACCTAGTAAGTCTTTGTTTCAGTCCAGTATTTCTTGAAAAGTTATTCCTCCTCAGTTTGAACACCGATTCTGCCGCGGAGGTCCTGTCACTTGAGTATTAGTGACATGAATTTTGTGCCAGTCATGGTAAGCAACGTTTCGATCTACTTGATCATGCAGCTAAAACGGTGATTAGGGCGTTATAATCATTCATCAGAATATTAGTCTTTCAGACCAATGAATTAAGTACAAAAATTATTTTTGCCGTTATTATTTAGGGATTTGGTTCGGTTGATTTTATTTAAGTAGCTAGTTTCGTCAGTGATATAACATTGATCTTTATACACGTCAGTTTCTAAAACAATGCGAAGAGCTTTTCCGAATGACAGCAAGCAATAGACAAAAGCGGAATTCAGGCGGAAGGGACTGGCGGTGTGAATTAGGCGAGCAGTATCAAAGAGATTGAAAGAAATCATGCTGCGTAGCATGTGCTCTGCACTGTAAGGCGTAGATGTCAGGATGCCCTGGCTTAAGTTAAAGGTGAGGTACTTATCTTCTGTTTACAACAAAAAATTACGATTTCCTTTCTATGCCTAACACCCGAACTTCATTTAATAATTCTACGTGACTTAGGTCTGAGGAGGAGTAAATTCGGTAAGTTAGTTTAGAAGATGACCTTAAAGATGAGAATTACGAAATTACAAGTCAAAACATTTAGTACTTGATCCATCTTATGTTTTGTGAAAGAACCTCTTTTAGCTTGCCAAATTCGCGTGAGTGTCAGTGTTAGTGGTAAGGTCATCACATTGCTATTAGTAGTGAAAGGGTTCACTATCAATCATTTTCGTTTTTCTTGAACAATGTTTAAGCCAGAAGTTGCTTTTTTCCCAAATGTTACTATAGCGTCTCTGTAGATGACTCTGAAATATATCAAACTGCTTGAGTCTTTTACCATTTGACTACCTGTATTCCATTTTCATGAGTAAAAAACTTCACTTACACATATTATCCTTATTTTTCGACTGTAATTGAAATCCTGTAGTTCCAGACCTTCCTTTCATTTGTGCCGTAGGCAACTTTACTCTAGCCATTGCTTGATTAGGCCTTTCTACTAGATAAGTTCAAGTAAATGTAGAAAGTCAAAAACAGCTGAGGCTGAATATTCCATAACAATCTTAAAGGTTGTTATTACATCTGAACTTTTAAGTCCAAACATTTAGTTATTACCTTACACTTAATAATTCTGACAATGGTAAAAAATAACATTGGTGTGACAAGCCTATCTGGAGGATGTTAAGAACTTGCCAATAAGAGTGGTTGAATATTGTCACACAGAAAAGAAGAGAGGCTTTACTAAATCGCTCTATGAATCATCCCCTATTGTGATCTTTGTCTCTTGTGCTCTCTGTGGTCACTCTTTTGCTTTGGCCTTAATGGTTCTTCGTACGAACTCCAATCAACCACCTGGCGAAATTGAGGACGGTAACCAATTTGTATTAAGGAGGGAAGGCCATCTAGCATCGGTAGCGCATGTTGTGAGTGCCGTTGGGATGCCTGATCAATGCTTGTACTGCGGGCTGAGCAGTGGCGAAAATTAACCCTTTTAGGGGATAGTGCCAAGGACTAAATGGTGTTTAGCACGTTAAGGAAGGGTACATTACGCTCCAAGACTAGTGTATAAATCATTGAGCTTAGGAACCCAAATGATTTTATCCGCCAAAATTTAATCCCGCTCCACCAACCGTCACTTTATAAGGCTCGGAATTTTGAATGGGCCGGAAGCAGGCACCGTTGCAACACATCTGTAGCTAGCTTTTGCACTTTCAGCCATGGGTTGGTGATACTTTCATTTTACCGTGTTTAGGATTGGAAACTGATTGACAAAATCAGAATTGGAAGATATTTGCCGGTGCTACCAATGTGGCTCTCCCAGCACTCCGAGAAGCCTTAGCAGGAACATAGCTATAGATGTAGTGTCCCGGGACTCCCTGAAGACGAAAGAAGACAAAATACTCGGGTAGAATATATATTCAGCGCAGAGAAGGTGTCTGGGTTATTGGC